AAAGAAACTTTGTGCAGAAAAGATAGATTTTCTTTAAATCTTCTTGATATTTGTTGCCGATTGGTTGTATGTAGTATGAAGCTTGCTTGAGAGCAAAGATTTTTGTATGTAAAAGTGTTTTCTTGTATGTGTAAAGCTGGCTTCCCTTGTTTTTCACTAAAATTATCAAAAAAGGAAATTTTTAAGAAAACTGGGGATCAGCGGAAAGAGTTTTTTATTTATTTTATATACTGTATATTGTATACCATTATACAGTATTTGAAGGCATCAATTTTTTAATAAATAATCAAGAACCGAATATAAAAAATTAAAAGCGTACAGTTATTGAAATATCAAAATAAATTGATAAATGTAATTAAAAAAATAAAGAAAGATTTATTTGATTTATTTATCTAAAGAAAGTAAAACTGTTTTTGAAGATTTAATTTTTTTTAAAAAATAAGTGAATATAATTATACTTGATATTTTAAAAAAATATTTTTTAACAAAATCATTTATTTTCCTTGACTTTTAATAATTATACCAAGGACTTCGTTATATCAAGGTTTGACGGTATTCATAAAGTATTTGGGTGATTTTGAAGGGGTTCGATGGGTTGCCTTCTCGTGTTGCTTTCCCATCTTCCATCGCCCTACGCTGTCGATTAATTTTATGAGATAGATTCTTGTTATATTCTTTCTTTCTTTCTTTACACTGCTGTCAAATAATGAAAAGGTGAACAAAGCTTTTTGGATGAATATCAAAACAAAACAGAATTGGAAAATCACAGTAGTTGTTTCGTTCGTGAATAATTTTGCTAATAGCATATTGATAATGATAATTTAAGAAGAAACCGAAGGGTGTTCAAGTGCAAATTCAGGTTAATAGCAGCCGTGTCGATTTTTTTGATGATTTATACACTGATAACGAAAACGAGGGCGAAAGTCAAGGAATACGAGCACATGCATGCGTGGTGAGGATATGACTTTCGTTAAATTCAATGATGGCATAATTTGACGTACAGTATGTCCATAGTAATTTACCGTATCTTTTGCCTGAATTATTTTTATCAGTTTATATCACGTGAATTAATATGAACTAAACCAACAAAAGCAAACTCAGCGGACGTTCTATACAATACTTGGTGTATTAAATACAGTACTTCACTTATTTAGTCGGAGAACATACATTCAAGAATGTTATAATGGCTCCGCCGAGGTTTGTCTTGGCGAGACGGACCAACTATTACTGTTAAATTCAATTTCTCTGTGGCTGGCGAAAATACTTTAGACAGCAGTGTTGGGGAAAGGAATACACCGTTCAAAACAATCTAATTATTCTTCAAAGAATACATATTTGATTGGATCGAGGTGCAAGCTGAGTGTATCAAGGATGTGAAGTTGGATTCCAGGGTTTGACTTGACATCGAATAAGACAGGCAATGATGTCGGCGTGAAAGTCGCAAGTGACAAAGAAATTGTATTCAAGAGGTCCGTTTTAAAACACATCAGCGTATTGGTAATATATCGTATTTATTGTACTAACTTCTTTTGAGTAGTATAAATTCTTACATTAATGATTTATGGTGACCGAAGTACACTGAGTGAACTTCGAAAACATTTTTATACAATTTCGCAAATAAAGTCAGCATTAATACCCTTATTTGATGAGATCGCAAAGTTCTCGAATTTTTTATGCATGTTATCAGGTCTCATGAGCACCAGTCTACGGTATTTTTAATTTCCAAGTTAGACTCAAAAATCAAACGTGTGAGTTAAAGTTCCTGCTTTCCCGATTCTAATGCGACACAGAAATAATTTATGAATCGACTGTAATTCCCTTGCTTGATAAATGATATTAATTGGAACGGATATAGTAAAAAACGTATAATAAAGCGGTAACGGAACATTCTTTGCTTAGACTTGTTTATCAAGTCTTGATCATATACTTCTTGGTTCATCCATATTGGGTAGGTACTCTTAACGTGTGGTTTAGTGGTGTATTGGAATTACATTATTTTTCAAAAAAGCGATTGGCGCAATCTGAAATCTGAAATGGAATGTGAGTGTGACTAAAAACATGAGATTTAATATCCAAGTTGCACAGATTCCGAGACTGATACATTAAGGACCTCGGAACAGCATCAAGATCTGAAACTAAATTGAAAATTCCGAGAGCAATATCATCACCCGTGACATCAAGACTTGAATGCCAAGACCTCCGTCTCCATCGGGCATTTCAAGGTCCGTCTTTTTGACGTGACAATTTCACGTGATTTAAACCTTAAATAAATATCTTCGAACAACATGATACAATTCCTCTGTTTGTAGTCTGCAATATTTCCTATATCTTTCTTTTATTTCCAGCTATTTTTACTAAATTTTGGCTATAAACTCGATAGGATTTACTGTCTAGAATTGGCACTATGCAAATCTGATGAAATGCGATAGTGGACAAATTTTTCATACTGCAAAGTATAATTTTCTATTTTACAGTAAATCAGAACTTTGTTAACTAGAATAAAGTTTATGGATTAATACATTGATTTTATCTTTACGTTTTTTAACATGAAACGGGAAGACTTTTTTAAACAAATTGCATGCACATATACTGTACATACAGTATACAGTATATATAAAAATCAAAATACTCATTCCAATAAAACACAGTAGATATTTCGGCAAAATAAAATTTAAAATGACAATCTAATCATTATTTTTTTTTTAAAAAAAAAAAAAATTCGAATATAAAGATAAAGATATCCTTGGGCAAATAATTATAAATTTTAATTTAATAAAATCGATAAAAATAAGAGATTAATTATTAGGCTTCCGCCCGTGCTAATCAAGAAGGCAGTAGTAATTGGAGAAGTTGAGTAATGGGAAATGTGTTCAATTAGTATTTTATTGCAAATTATGAGAACGACGTATTGCTTTATTGTAAAAAAAAAATGCAAGATGTAAAATAACAAGCAAATACGAAATAAAATCTTTGCTTGTTGAAACAACAAATCATATTGAAGTCCTGCTTAAATAGTTCAATTGTTAATATCTTCCTTTTTAAATATATAATAAATGCCATATATGAGAAAATCTATATTTGCTTTTTGCAGGCGCAGATCTAAAGCTTCATATAGTAGTGGCCTCCATCTAGAAGGGTTACCAATTAATGTAGTATAGAGAGCTCTTGTGTATTATGTAGACTCTAAAGAAGTAGGTTTTATGTCTCACGTAGTTTAGTAATTACCTGAAGGTAAGTTGCTGCACATTTCTCTTGTTCGCAGGTCATATCCCAAATTTGATTGTGGGGAATTAGTTATAGACTTTCTGGTTGAAGTGGTTATTCGATGCTAAAGTTACAAATGAGAATGTGTTTTTGGCACACATGAGACCTGGATTACAAAAATAACCTCACTCATTATCTCGTATAAATTCTAGAAAAGATGCGAAATTTCCGCCAAGAGCGCCGATCAAGAGCCCCTTACATACAGTATCATGATTTTCCAAACAATGGCATTTCGGCATTTCTAACGTTCAAAGACACAGTACATACAGTATGTACAGTACTTGGCAACCATTTTTAATGACGAAATAACAAACAGACTTCAACAATACCATTAAAAAACTGGTTTTGTAGAAATATTATCATCATCTCACACAATTACGTAATTATCATATTTTATTAACCAATCAGATAATAATGCGTTGGCATTAAAAGGAAGTTACATATAGCATAACGAAAAGTGAAGGGTTTCTTATCACGGGAAGTACGGAGTGAGGTGGCATATGCATATAATAACAAATCGTATAAACCATAATGATTCTTAAGATTGATTTCGCCTTAAATAATAGAATGCCGTTATTTATGTGTTTGACGCTTAGTTTTTGGTAGAATAGAAGAAGACGTTCATAGAACTTCGATGTTTAAACAAAAACAAGATATCGATATTTATTGTATATATGCGAGAAAATGTCGGCGTAGCCAAGAGGTCATTGTTCGAAAATGTTTGGCAAGTAGAAGTCTATCCTGTCACTAGCATTTATATCAGTCGGCTGAAAGTAATTTCGAAGGTCGAATTGATTAATGTCATCCTGGAGGAGAAGTTCAGGGTACTGATTTTCAAAAAAGTTTGGACTATTGACAGCTTCAATCGGTGGATATGGTGGATATGGTGAATATGGCGAATATGGCGAATATGACGAATATTCAAAGTAT